CCAGAATCCGTCACAGAGGGCCAGACTGGTCGGGGTGTATAATAGCGGGTAACCATATCTTCTGTCACGAGAGACTGGCGATAGTGGGCGTGGATTCGGGTGCTCAGCCCATTACAAACGCCGACAACAGTATTATACTATCGGTTAACGGAGAGATCTATAACTACCTGAACCTCAAGAAACTGCTGAACGATCCGCAGCCATACGTCACGCAATCGGACTGTGAAATCATTTTGCATTTGTATCGCGAAATTGGCGATAAAGTGGTCGACCATTTGGACGGACAGTTCGCTTTTGTATTGTACGATAAGAAAGCGGACAGACTTATCGCGGCGAGAGATCCCATCGGGATAACGACACTGTATTATGGGTACGACAGCCGTTCGCCTAAATCTATATACTTTGCGTCCGAAATGAAATCACTGAACGAGGACTGCGATCGGATCCTGTCCTTCCCTCCCGGACACCTCTATGACTCGAAAACGGGACAAATAAGGCGTTGGTTTGACCCCAACTGGTGGTCAGAGGAGGTGATAGCGAGCGCACCCCTCGATTACACGCTACTGAAGCGCAAACTCGAGCACTCAGTCCGCAAACGACTCATGAGTGAAGTGCCGTATGGGGTCCTCCTGTCCGGTGGTCTCGACTCCAGTCTCATCGCATCGATAGCCGTGAGAGAGACGAGAAATGTTGTCAGACGTAAGACTAGTAGACCTGTACTGAGAACTGATTCAGAGGACGGGAACAGTAGTAATGATGAGGTGACTGTTGAGGAGTGGGGGAGACTCCACTCATTCTCTATAGGACTGCCAGATATGTATACTTTTACTAATTATCAAAATTATAAACGCGTTATAAATTGAGTTAAAATATTGAGTTATATATGATTTGTCTCCATACGATCCCCAGATCTATTGGCGGCCAGAGATGTGGCGAAGTTCCTGAAGACTAAACATCACGAATACATATTCACAATACAGGAGGGATTGGATGCCATATCGGATGTGATCTATCACTTGGAGACGTACGACGTGACGACAGTGAGGGCCAGTACTCCCATGTATTTGCTGTCGCGTAAAATCAAAGCAATTGGCGTTAAAATGGTTTTGAGTGGCGAGGGATCCGATGAGATATTCGGTGGTTATCTGTACTTCCACTCCGCGCCCAGTGCTGAGGCTCTCCATCAGGAGACTGTCAAGAGAGTGAAGAATTTGCACACTTCTGACTGTTTGAGGGCTAATAAGTCGACACTTGCCTGGGGTCTGGAGGCCAGAGTGCCATTCCTTGACATCAAGTTCTTGGACGTAGCCATGAATGTTGATCCAAAGGATAAGATGTGTTCATCAGAACATATTGAGAAATATATCCTAAGAAAGTGAGACATTTCTCATTTAATTAACATTCATGTCGTCATTATTCAAGATTTATTGATAGTTTCATAATATTTAATATTTTTATTGTATTATAAATTGCAGAGCATTTGACACCTCCCACGACCCGACTCTTGAGCCCTATTTACCCGATAATATCCTTTGGCGCCAAAAAGAGCAGTTTTCCGACGGCGTCGGCTATTCGTGGATCGATTCGCTCAGAGATGAGGCCGAGAGGAAGATCTCTGACGAGGAGTTTGCCAAACGAGACACCCGTTGGCCGGACGACACCCCGCAGACAAAGGAGGCGTTTTGGTACCGACAAGAGTTTGAGAAGTGGTTTCCCGAGAAGGCGTGCACTGAGAGTGTGGTTCGTTGGGTCCCCAGAACTGATTGGGGCTGTTCTCCAGACCCTTCCGGACGGTCACAGAAAGTACACACACAGGCCTACCATAAGTAATTCAATGGTTATCCCTATAACGGCCACCATATACAACATGTTTTCGACTTTTTAATTGAATTTGGTTTAGGTATATTATTTTTAAATTAAAAATTATATTAAAATAGGTGTTGGTGAAGTTTTATTTGGTAAACTATTAAGAAAATAATACCGGTATATTTAAGTATTATGCTACAGTATCTGGTTAAAAATAATCGAGTTACTTTAATCTCGTAATCTTTGTGTTATCGTAATATAAATATTCACTCTTATTTTTTATTTTAATTTTTTATTGTTTTTTTTATAAAACTATATAAATTGGTATTCATGTGACTCATTATAATATACAATTTAACAAAACATAACAATATTCGCTATAATTATACATTTGTTTGTTTTAAAAGTGTGCGAAAATACATATCATTTTCATGCATTAAAGTAAGAAACAAATAATTCTCTTAACAATCGTATAATTGAAGACTAATTAAGTGAAGAAAATTACTTCCTTTAAGACTAAAAGCCATATCTGTATTGCATTATCTTCGCCTTCGTGTTAGCATCGGATCTGCGGTGCAATGGCTTATGGCTTGAACTCCAACCCGTGTTAAACATATCGAAAGGCTTCTCAATAAACATCCGGTTCAATTGGTCCCTATTCGGGGGTTGTCTGTCATAGTCAATGGTCTGATCATTAGGTTTGCTATAAATCTGCGGATAAACCCTCTTCTCGTAATGATATCTAACAGCTTTCGCTTTCGGACCACTTCTTCCACTTCTGGATCTTTGCCTCATTTCCTTATATGTTTTCATTTTGAAGCCAAAGTCTCTGTCATTTTGTCGTCGCTTATAATTGTTGTAATCATTATTAAACTCTTTTCTCATTTTACTCGTTAAGTCCGTCAATAGAGTCGGTCTGTAATTAAATTTCTCTTCCCTATCCTCTCTTCCTTCGTATTTATCGTCACTATTGCTGTGAATCTCGTAATTATTTTCGTTGTTCTGATTATTCATGTAATTGTTGTTATAATTGTCATAATTCTCGTCGCTATTCATTATCCTATTCCAAGGCTTAAACTTTTGAAAATTGACTACAAATTTGGGTGAATTATAGTTATTGTAATTGTCCTCATCTTTCACCTCATTGTCAGTGTTGTCGGCGTCGGAGTCATCGATATTTATAAACCATTTATTTTTCTCATTATCCGATCCATCATAACCTCCCTCTCTGTCGTCCACTCTTCCCTCAAACACATGCTTTCGTTTGTAATTATCATTTGGATTATAATTGTCTTTATTTCCATCGTTTCGACTGTAAATCTGATTTTTGATATTATGATTTATATTTGAATTATAATTAATCGGATTTCTATTAGTATTTGTATTAATCATGTAATTGTTTCGGTTGTCGTTATTATAGTTGAAATGGATGTCCTTTTCATTGTCGTCCCATTTCTTAATTTCTATGATATCATCCTTTATGCCGTAATTATTTCCATAATTTCTTTTATTATACAAATCTTTTTTCACTTTCTTCGGTACATACTCTTTATTATAATCTAGAAATATTCAAATTAAATTACATTTTTGTAATACATAAGTAATAAATTTGTAGTTTAATTACACAATATTAATTAGGGTTTAAATTATAAAGCAATAATTAGTTGGGAAATCATATAACTTTTTTATGGATAACTTATTGAATTTATCATTGAATTATTAACCCTAATTACTAAATTATGTATCAAGAAAGTGTTTATATCGTGTTATACTGTATATTAAATGTGTACAAAGTACTGTAAAATTTACAGTAGTATATTAAGACTTAGGGAATTTATGTTTTAATTAATTTATTACACAATTTTTAATATATTTATGTGAAAAAATAGGTAAAATATAATCATTTTTAATTTTAAAATTTTATTATTTTTGAATGTTTAGCATTAAAAATCAATAAATATATCGATGGAGACTAAGATAAAATTATAAAACAAATTCTAATATTTAGGTAATATTTCTCAGAAATTTAATACAATAGTTTGCCTAAAGGAAATATAAACTTTAAAAGTTTAATATAATTCATATTGTTTATAAAAAAAATGATGTCTGGCTTCTAGGATGAAATTATTTCCTTTAATTTTTCACAGTATAACTGTTATGCAATCGAGTATTTTTTAAATAGTTAATTAGATATACAGTAATAACTTATAATCTTAATATAAAATTTTTTTAATAAATAAAAAGTATTATTAATAAACTTTACCGGAATTCCAGTGATAATCCTTTTCATAACCGACTTCTCGATTATGAAAATAGTGGACTTCTCTCAAAAAACTTTTATTTTTATTTCCATTATTATTGTCATAATAGGTGTCCTTTTCTTTAACATAATTATAGTTTTGGTCACTCGTAAGCAAATCATTACTTTTGTTTTTATTATCGATATTTACAATTTTGCTTTCGTTTAAATTTCCATTTTTTATTAATACGTAATCTTTTGTTAGTAATGGAGAATCAGTTACATTATTAGGTTTACAATCAATGAATGTGATTAAAATGGTTACACATATTATTTTGATGTATAAATCCATGTTTATGGGGTTTACTCCAAATGTCAAACACTTTGTAAGTATTAACACATAAATGGAAACAAAAATAATAATTTGGAAAAAGGATTCACAAAATCGGCGGTCCGTTGAGTAACATTGAAAACTTCGTATGAATTGAATAACATTTTTCTCACAATTGATTCACAAAAGAGAAGACAAACACAGAAAATAATATAAACTTATGGATTGATATTGAAAGACAAACAAAGTTTTATTTTGAATGAATTATGAGGTTCTGAACTCAAACAATGACCAAAACAATGGTTTTGTGAGTTTAACAATATTATCAAATATTTATTTTGATGTCACACTTGTATATAAAAGACTTGTTTATAAGTAGTTATATAACACAAGAATATTGTTGACAATAAAAATTGCATACATCGCTATAATCGACGACTGCATCTAAACCTAATTTAATTGTTAAACAAATTGATTTTATTTTTGAAAACTTATGATTTAGTTTCAAATCATATTTTCTAAATACAAATGAAACATTAGACGCGTTAGACTCGTAGTACACATTAAACAACTAAAATACATAACAATAGGAATAAAAAGAGTTTTGGAGTTTCTTTAAGCAATTAATAACTCGTTTTTATAATAAGTTATGAAAAACTTTTGTTGTCTTATAGTGTAGTCTTATTTGACTTAATTTTGTTGCACAAGAGTTTTGATGTGAAAACTTTTCGCATCATTTTTAGTACATTTTATGACTTCACTCTCACTATTAGATGAGAAAGTTATATAACACTAATTATTAGTTTTGCGCCAAAATTAATGAAATATTAAGTTTTAACCAAAAATTATAATTATTGTTATACTTGTAATGTGTTTGAGTGAACAAAAACAAGCAGTCTTTTTGAAAAAGTTTTGAAAAATTATTTTATCTCTAACTCCGAGTCACGAGTTTTGACCTTAAAATCTATTTAAGATATTTGAGTTATGTTTGTATAGTATTTCGTATAGAATATAATTATATTTTTCTAGAAATACTTTTATTTTTTAATGCAATATATGATTAGTGGAATAAATTATTATTAATTTAAGACAAATTGCTTTTAAAGCTAATAAATTAAAATGCATTCAAAACAATAGGAGTCTAAAGGAGTAATTTTCTTAAGCAAAGGTTACGATTAAGAAATAATAACTCATTTAAAACCGTATTTTACAATAATTCACAACTAATTCAACTTTTTTGATGTTTATTATCTACAAATAAGATTTATTAGTTTTGCAACATATTAAATAACAAACACTTGAAGTTTTTCTTTGTTTTTCATAATTTTACTTTCGTTTGTTAACACAAGTATAGCCCGTTTCGTCAATTTCTCTCCACAACTCATAATAACCTAATTTTTGTTGTAATGTATCGCTAATTATGAATTCAAATACTTTTTATTTTTTACGATTTTAAAGATATTTTATAAGAAGTGAAATCGATTTCCAGTAAAGATAAACATTATTCACAATCATATTAATTATGTATTTTTCACTCAAATATTACTATAAACTTTTGACTTAAAAATGAATTATTGATTACGTTTTTTCGTCACTTATTGTATGATAATATATTTACGTTTAATTCAATTACGAGTTTATCGCAAGATTTTAATGAGTTTTACATTATATTGCATTTGAGTTATCGCACGAAATGCACGAATTGCTGTTATTTAACAACTTTGCGGACAATTTGTATCTTTAGTTGCATTTTTTCAAACAATACTAAAATTTATTTTGTATAACCATCTCATTTTTTGTGCACTACATTTTGGACCTACATTTTTAGATAATTTAAAATTATGCTAAATAATGAGATCAGAAAACATTGAAAATTTTTATTTAATTTCCGATATATTTTTATGTTATCAAAATGTAATATTTGAAATTTAATTATGCGATACTGTAGCTATGCACAAATACAATATCGATAGGAACTACTGTTTATATTATATTATTTTATCAAATTTTAAGAAATATTTCTGTTTATTTGATTTTAATATAAAATAATTATTGTTTTAATGGAATATTAATACATATAGTATTAAATTCTGTGCCATAGAATAGTCATGAAAATAAATGTTTGTTATAATAAAACCGGAAATTTCCTTATTTTTAATAGATTTATAGGTCATTTGGTTTGTAAAATAACCTGGCATATATATAAATATTCTACTAAATATAATAAATTAATAATCTAACAAATTAAACTTTAAATGAATACAGTGATATTGTGCTATTAATAACTAAATTAAAATACTATAAATGGCTATTATTTGCATTACAAAAATATTTGCATAACTTATCAAATGTTTATATGCTATTAGAGAGTTCATGACAAATAATATTAAATATGAAAAACCGATAAAACAATAAAAAATATATGAAATTAAACATTAAATTGAATGAGACTTTTGCGGCAATCGATTGCATGCATGGAAAGTGTGGCACAAAAGTAACGCCAGTTTGCGGTGGAAAAGGAAACTAGAGTTCAGTGTATAATAAAAACAACAAAAACTACTTTTCAATGAGTTTTTTGTACACAAATTCAATACAAACTCACGTTTTCT